CTGGGGGGTCGGGGGGAGGGAGGGTGGCGGAGAGGTGACGGAAGTTATCGCACGGCGCGGCACATCGGTGCCTAGGAACTGTTCATGGGCGTTCTTGACGATGTCGTCGACACGCGAAGGAGAGAAGGGAGACACGTCTCTTTCGGGTGCCTGCTCCCTTCCTTGTATCTCTCTCTCTCTCTCTTTCACGGGCGGTCCCCTCCTCGCACCTGGGGGGGTAGGCGCACCCGAGTGCACTCGCGGGTGCACGCGAGACGAGTATCGACGAACGTTGCGGGAGGGGGGGATGATACCTTCGGGCTCGCGCGAGCCTCGCTCGTTCTCTCTTTCTCTCTCCTCTCTCTCTTTCTTTCTCTCGTTCGCCCGCTTGCTTCAGGATCGCTGGACCACGCGCGATCCGCACGGCGAACGTCGTCGACGATGGCGATTAGATGGCGATGACTTCGTTGACAGGGACGATGGGAGATCGAACGAGATTCTCACCGCGAACGCGACACCACCGCTCGAATATGGACAGCAGTAGTGATGGTTCGAAGAACACCGACGATCACAGTCGAGGACGGTGATTATCTCGACGGCGACATCGGCGACGACGACGACGACGGCGGCGACGACGACGGCGACGACGACGACGGCGACGACGAGGACAAGGTAGAGTACGGCGGCGGCAACGTCGGTAGTCACGATGACAACGACGACGTGAACCGGGACACCGTAACGACACGAAGCACCGCGACACGAAACCGTGACACCCACGGTCGAGACACCACGCCGCTAAATTTTACTACAAGATGTCTGTCTCTCTGGGTCTCCGCGGCGCGCACACTGACGGCTTCGCGGACAGGAGACGGTCGCGCAGCACTCCGCGCGCAGCGATCATTCGAGACAACCGATTGGCCGCGCCGCCACGAGCTGCCGCCACCCGCGCCCGCCGGCGAAACCGGAGCGAAACGTGAAGCGCCGGAGCAGCGGAGGCGCCACCGACCGCGCGAGTCTTTGTCCTTCTCATATTCTCTCTCTCTCTCTCTCGCGTCGATACTCGGCTTTATCTCGATTGCGAGCGCGGAAACGTAACGCGCCAACTTCAGGTGATACTTTGAACAGGGGACATTCGTCCGAACGAACGTTGCCGGCCGGCATTATTTGGCACTTTTTCTCTCTCTCTGATCGCGAAATTGAAATTGTAATTTCGCACGATGTCATTCATGACGTTTCCTCGCGCGATCGCGGTCTCCTCTTGTAATTCCTTTCGCGCAAGGACGAAGATGTATGGCAATTCACGCGCCAATCGACGTTCAAATTTATACTAACGTTATCGGGTATCCTTTATGTGATCGTAGGATATCCGTTTACAAACGTAAAGAATATCCGAGCACTGGGAAAGGTTCGAAGGAGACCGGAGCAAACAGATACCTGAATCTCTCCGATGCTCCAATTTCGCGTATCGCACTTCGTACACGCGCGCTTGCCCACGTGCGCACGACGAGTATTAGACAGAATAGAAATCGTCTGGTGCGTGTTTCCTATTTTCCTTAATTCTCTGGTATTCTTTTATCGGTACACGGGTCGCACGATGGGTTGTTAGAGAAGAAGATAGTCTTACGGCCCTTGTTGGTATTATGGCTCTTCTTAAATGTTGGTCCACAATATTTTAAGCCTTAAGAAATTGATCAATCACAGTCGAATGTGAAGAGAATAATTAACTGTGATTGGTCAATTGCTTAAGACTTGAGGCTTAAAATATCTATTGTGGACCGACACTAACTCTAGCTCCGTATATTTCTTAAATCCATAATTTGTCATATTCCAATCCGTGAGACCGCTCGACTTTATCGTCTTGTCATTTTCGTTCTAATTGATATTTTTAAGTTTACGTGATAATGTTAAATGTGGGAATTGGAAATACGGAGTCTAAATAAGATGTTTATGATATCGGGTCAATACTCGGCTTTAAATAATTTGCTTTTAAGTTAAAGTTATTATTATAGGGAAAAGGATAGTTTTGGAAAAAATTTTTAAGTAGTCTTGCAAATGCGATTTCGCTATATTCTTATAAATAACGTCCTCTAAATATTTCATAACTTTATGTCTAGAATCGATTGAACAACACTTTGAGGAATGTGACCGTCCAGTTTTCAATTTAAAATATTGATTGTTGACAAAATTATTATACAAAATGTAAATGGGAAGTACCACGGTAATATCACCGTAATATCTTTTTTTCTATTAATACGTTGAGTGCCTGCATGGATGGTCCATGTTAAACTTTTCGTTCGGGCTGCATAACACGTATTTTACGTTATCTCTTTTTTTCATAATAGTGATTTTTATAGTGATTTTTATAGTTTTATAAATATTCTAAGATGTATTCTATAAAAATATATAATAAAAATATATAATAAATACGATAATCGTGGATTATCGGTGGTCTATGCTGTATGAATAAAAAGTCCATGTGAAATTGTCGAGACACTCAACGTGTTAAATAAATGTCGGTAATACAGAGAGAAAGATAAAGAGAAAGAGAGAGAGAAAGAGAGAGATACGCGCGATCAAATATTATTGTTATATCCAAACGATGGTACACGATTATATCGGATAAACAGCGGCTGGTAAAGTTAAATTCTCTTGTCGCTCGATGTTGCGTTTGATTTTCATTTATACAACGCCCGTAATATATAATCTACGTCCACTGTTAACCGTCAAGGCATGCTCGGCTTAACCTGTTATAGTAATCCGCAGTACTCGGAGCGTATGTTACTTTATAATTTCGAGAAACGATTTGAAACGTTGAGGCGTTTCTAAACGCGTTCGCGACGCATATCCCTACGAATAAGAGATATCTCCGGCTTTGATCCAATAACGAGATAACGAACATGGAGTGTGTGTCTTGATAACAGAACAATGCATTATCACGGTTTTACGATTACGATAATCTGTCTGAACATAAATTACCTTTATACCGGGCAATTTCAAGAACTTAGCTGCGATATTAACGACAGCTACGACCCGCCTACGAATCTCGGACATCGCTTGTCCAAGGATGTCCTGCCCGACAGATACGCAATAACTGTTTCTCCTGATTTTATTGGGAATGAATTCCACGCGTCGATACAGATCAATCTTCGAATTCGCAAGGTTCGAGCAGAATATTCTCTTCAATTCTCCTTAATTCGAGTACTGAGTTTTCGTTCAACCAGTGTGACGAAATCTTGTCGAAATTAATAAAGAGAAGGCGTCAGATAACTATTAATTTATTATATTACTTTAGCCATGGGTGCGAATTACGAAGGAATTAGAGCGGTGACAGAATTTTATTCACAGGAACGAAACTACATCGCGCTGCATGCTAAAGACTTGATTATCGCGTCGGCGAAATTGCATAAAGCTCAATCGCCATGTGAGCGGATTCTTATAAAGTCCGTATGTTACGCGAACGACTACGAGATGATATTTATCAGGACAGCCGGACACATAGCGGCGGGCGAGTACTTTTTGAGGATGAATTTCAGCGGACATCTGAGCAGAAGGATGAATGGGTTGTATCTAAGCACGTACACGAATTTTGGATACGAGCGCGACAGGTAAGCCGATAATAAAATTAAAGGATTTCATCGATGAATCGAATCCTTCCTTTGAAACCGACGGAGATTTTATATACAATTCTTTCACACAGAGAAAAAGGTTTCTTTAGATTTAGTATTTCTCTTTATCTGACTAAAATTCATTGTCATAGAAACAACATATACGAAACATTATTTGCTTGAGTAAAAACTTTATCGTCTCATTCAAGAAAACTCTATTATTTAATAGAAAGAACGCTATTATTTGAAATAATGTCTTTATATTATTTGGTTACAATAAATATGTAAAATGAAACAAATAATTTCTTTATGAGAAAATTATCTTTCGTTTCAAACAAACTTTTTATTTAAGATAAAGATACATATCCGTTGAAAGGTCGTACTTGTTAATCGAAACATTAGTTCCTTTGGAACATGCCAGTGATGAAATTCGTTTGGATGCAATAACATTTATTAAATTCGAAGAAATCTTTTTCTCAGTATATACAAAAAGGAAAAGGAGACATCTTGCTTTTCACTTTAACTCACTCTGCATGCAGGAAACTATTGGTCACACAATTCGAGCCGGCCTACGCGAGGATGGCGTTTCCCTGTTTCGATGAGCCAAGCTTTAAAGCGATATTTCACATACGCCTCGTTCATTCGCGATCGCATTACCGCGCATTGTCCAATATGCCAATTTCAGTAAGTCACGCGGGAAGTTTCGATTCTGCGACAAGTTGCCCGAGTGTGCGTCTGAAATTCGGAAATGTCTTTCGCGCAGAGAGTCGCACGTGCGACGAATAACAATGACAAGGTGGTCACGTATTTCGCACCTACTCCTCCCATGCCCACTTATCTGGTGGCTTTCGTCGTCAGCGATTTGGAGTGCCTGACATCCAGTATCGACAGCTCGAGCGGCAAGGAAATTCCGCTGAGTGTCTGCATGCGCGCCGTTTACGTTAGGAGGAAAGCGCGATTCGCGCTACACTTCGCCGCTCGAGCCATGAAATATTACTCCGTTCTCTTCGGGATTGATTATCATTTGCCGAAACTCGGTGAGTCCGCGTTTTGCCCGAGCGAAAGCATAGTAATTGTCTAATTAAACGTCGAACAGATCTGCTCGCGATCCCCGACTTCGCCTCCGGCGCCATGGAGAATTGGGGCCTGATTACCTTTCGCGAAACGAAACTTCTCCGTGATGAAGGTCGCGTCTCGTACGCAGACACGAGGAACGTCGCCCTCACCGTGGCGCACGAGTTGGCGCACATGTGGTTCGGCGACTCGGTCACTATGAAGTGGTGGAACGACCTGTGGTTAAACGAGGGCTTCGCCACGTACATGCAACACCGAGCCGTAGATTCTATTTTTCCAGCTTGGCGGCAGGTACACGAGAATTTATTTTAGGATTAGCTTAGATCTGTTCTTGCGTGCCTCCCGATGTTAAAGCCGAAATTATTCGTTACATAATTTTTTTTCAAATAAATAATATTTCGTATATGTTGTTTCTGTGAAACAAATTTCAGTCAAATAAATAGAAATATTAATTCTAAAGAAACTTTTTTATCTGTGTACAAAATCTAAATCTAGGACATAAAAACGTCTTTAAGACATCTTTAAAACGTTTTAAATCTGTAAATCTATAAATAAGACGTCTTTAAAATGTCTTTAAGACATCTTATATCCTAGTCTTAGGTTTTGTGCTGTCTGGATATTGCGTCCGCAGCACCGAAGTTAAAACTTCGTATGCGGTGAATTCCCTCTCTTTCTTTATTCTAGATGGCTAGTTTTCCATTGAATACGAAGTATATCGCGATGAAGGAGGACTGCAAATTGAGCGCAAGAGCGATCGCGACGGACGTGGAAACTCCCTACGAAATCGGTGAAAAGTTTGATCGCATGTCTTACCAAAAAGTACGAAAAGCAATTTATATGAAAAAAACAGCGCAATTTCTTAAATGATTTCAACAATTTATTAAATGTTATCAAATCGTCTATAATAAACGACAGGCGGCGGCAGTCATCAACATGTTAGAAAACGCGATGGGCAAGTCCAAGTTCGTCAATGGGATTAAGAACTACCTCGAAATGTATCGATTTCGTAATGCGGAATCTCGAGAGCTCTTCGAGATCCTGCGTAACGTTGGTCGCAACACGGTTGACATCGTCGAGTTCATGGACCGATGGACGAAGCAGCCCGGATTTCCGCTCATCAACGTTCGGCAAGACGGCCTGACTTTCGAATTATCGCAAGGAAGATTCGTGGCTGATAAGAGACGACGCGAGAAAGCGGAATTTACGTACGTAGAAACACACGGAAGAACAGGCGCAACAAATCGTTTTTCTTCTTATTAAGAATACTGCGATCGTTGCAGGGAAACCTGGATCATCCCTCTAAAGTACGTGACTGACGACAACAGCGAAGGTGTTAAGTTCGATTGGTTCCTCGCAAACTTCTCATGTGGTAAATAGAAGTACAAAAAAGTGTTATATACACGCGAAATAGACGATGTCGATGGACAACAATGATCGCTTGTCACTCTCGGAAAATACCGCAATTTGACTGAAATTTTCATATCAGATTTTGCGACTCCGAATAAGCTGCGGAATGCACCATTGAAGTGCCGTACAGTCGACGTCATTCTAGTGCTGCGTTATTCCCTAGACGAAAAGTTACACGATTTTAAACCTTACACACAACGCATAGAGTTGAAAATTGCAAAAATAATTCTAACTCTAGTTATGATGGAAGGATTATAATGGCTTTGATTATAATAGTTTCGACATTATGTGTACATGTGGAAGGCTAAAAATCACGTAATAGTAAAAAGCTTAAATACAGGAAATTGTACAGCATACATAGCGCCGACTATACAGTTCTTTTTTTTCGGGATGACTCTGACATCTCGTATGATAAATCGCAGTGAAGTTATTCGTCGAAAGGCCGGTGCGATGGATCAAACTGAATCACGGTTCGGTCGGGTACTATATCGTCAATTATACGGAAGATGCGTGGGCCCGATTCGGCGATCTATTGTCTCGCGACACACGGGTAAATTCTCCCCGTATAAACGTCGAAAAATTATAGTTTAACGAGGCTATTTCGTTGGTTGCTCTTTTCTTTTTTGTCCCTCGCGATTCATCCGGGCTATATTGCAGGCTCTGGATGCGATTGACAGAGCGGATTTACTGCATGACGCGTTCCTCCTGGCGGATACCACGGATATGTGTTATTGTATCGCCATGAATTTATCGACTTATCTGCTGGATGAAACAGCCCTGCAGCCTTGGACCATCGTTAGTCAATGGTTCATTCGGACCAGCAGACTGTTGCACGGCACGTATGTCCATGCTCAATTTCAGGTAACGAATATTATGGGTCGTTTAATTGCCCGAGTCGAAATTTTGGTCTCTATTAATCTTACAAGTTCCATCGAACTTGAACGATTAATGCAGGATCTCCAGATACAACACTGTACAGATTATTGTCATTGATTATTTTTATTACCGCTTTATTCGTATTGAGTTTGAACGAAAGACTTGTTTCAGAATTATACAATATTCGATTATCTCAATATTTTACCTGCATTTAATCTTTCCTCTTGATTTTAACTAGCAATGTAACAATTAGGTAACATGCCCAGCAGCAGATAGAATTTGTGAGATAATCAAATATTAAATAATTAATGAGTAAATCACGGGATCAATAAGCTAGCTTTATTCATAATCCTCTTTCTTTTGTTAGTGTTGGGAATTTCGTGAGACTACGGAATTTCAAATAGGTAAAGGGAAAGGAGTTGTACGAGCAAAGATAGCATTTGTGTCTAATAATGCTATGTATTAATAAAGATCTAAATTTGGATTGAATAACAATGCAAAATAGAAATGAAAAAGAGCATTAATAAATCATGATCAATAGCAAGATTCATTAGATTCTAATTCGGCCGGCATTCGTAATTACAAATTGCTTATGATCTTTGAGAGCACAATTAATTACGAATTCGTATTCATGGACCAGTACTCGGCTCTTCGAATCAATATTTATTGTTGTATGAAAGCTATAATTTGTCAAATGATGGATTACGAATGCCGATCTAAATTTCGACTCGGGCATCTCTTTGTTCTCGATCAATTCAAGCGTCTGTCATAATCGGGAACCTCTAGCATAACAAATGATTTTACATACCTGGAAAAAATATGATGTATCGCTGTCCGTATCCTGCTGCCTCCGTCTTGGCTTCCTGATTCAGCATCCTGTCCTCGACTCTATCGTGACAAGGACGCTGACACTTGCGTAGATACAATTTGATCAGAGAAACTCGTGTTAATTAATCGCGATGCGGAGACGACAGTCCGATTAAATATCTCAAGAGACAATATATTTAAATCGCCCGACGGAAATGATAGCTCATCGATACACATGTGCTCCGCGATATGCGTATCGCTCGATGTCCCAAAATATAATGAAAATATTCGGGAAGCTCCGCGACACACGAAGATGAGTTCGACCGCCTTTGAAGGTCAAGAACGTTTTCGAGAGTACGATTGTTGTAATAGCCGACGGCTACAATTGGCGACTGATACAGAATGACGTAGCCTTCCTCGTTCATCAATCAGTACTCTCGTGCGTCGTGTATTTTCCGCAACCCAGTCCTTACGTATTTCAAGCCGATGTTCGACGAGAGCATAAACGTATTCGATGATACGGAGTAAGTTGTATCGGTGCGTTAGTGACAAATATCACTTTTCGTTCCACATTTTGTACACAATCAGTGGAGGAAAGATTGCAACTCTTTTTCTATCTCTGTCATCTCAATGAACTCCGGAATGCATTCGATATCCGATAGGAAGAATTTATTTTCTGAGAATTAAAATAAAAATACCAATGGACACGTAAATTTCAACACATTCTTGTTGTTTTGGTCCTTAAATACGAATATTGAACTTTTCAACACAGAATATATGTATATATATCGAATATATACAAATATTTTATGTTTAAAGATTAAACGTTCGTATTTAAAGACCAGAACAACAAGAATGTTAGGTATGTGTCCAGGCATTGATATTTTCACCTTACTAAAAAGACAAATTCTCTCATGTTGGGCATAGATGCGTTGCAAAACGAATTAGGAAATAAAAAAAGTGCTGCAATTTTTCTTTCACTGACTACATATGTACGACATTTCGAACTCAGAGGTACGCACGAGCTCTGATTGACGGCATATATCGGGGATTCGATTGGAACGTCGATAGTAACGAATCGTTCGGTAACAGGTTAGCGGTATTCTGTGCATTTTATTTTCGCAGCTGCTCGTCGACGTGTCGAGTCAATACCCTTTGTCGTGTTTCAAGAGAACTGCGCGCGATAATTCTGCATGCAGCCTGCAGCGTCGCTCACGAACACTGCCTCACTTTCGCCGGGAACTCGCTGAGAGAATTAGCGAATAACGGCAGCGCGGAGCGACCGCATCCTGACGTTCGTCCGATCGTGTATTCCTTCGGTAAGAAGATTGGCTTTGCTTTGTCATGTTAAATGATTAGACGTGTCTTTTGTCGATTTTTACGAGAACGTACTGCATTAGGCATCGCCGTGCAGTCCGTCGAGGCTACATTTGAGACTCTGTGGCAACGATTCTTGCGGGAAACTGATGTACACGAGAGAGAAAGATTAATGATCGCGTTGGCCAGCGCTCGAGACGCAACCGTTCTCCGTCGGTGTGTAAATTTACAACAAACAAGGAGGAAACTTGTATTGACGAAATTTATAATCTACGATATTTCCATCTACTTTAACGCTGAAAGTTAACTAGGTCAGTATCGAAGCACTCATTTGAAATAGTTCTTTCTTCCTTCTCGCCAGATATCTTGAAAGAGCGGCGAATGAGAATTTTATTCGCGGTCAGGATTTCTTCGAGGTGCTCGTGAGAATCGCTTTAAATCCCGTGGGACTTGATATCGCGTGGGACTATGTACGGTATATCTTTTGTTTTTTGCATATGCTGCGGACGATTAAAGGCTTGCGAAAATTCGTCGTATTTTGAGCCGTGTTTCTTTAATTAATAATAACGAAACATATGCTGTGATCAATCAAAGTATTTGAAGTCGCTTATGCCAATTTTCAGATAAAATGGCCCTTATAAGGCAATAAAAGGGAAATAAGGACTATTCGACAAACTGTTGCAAATGCTTCTGATATTTACGTTATCGTGATAACAGCCATTTACGTTCATGCAGATTGAACTGGGATTATCTTGTCGGCAAATACACGCTGAGTGATTACGCCATGGGTAACGCGATTGCCGCAATAGTATCTCTGTTTAAGGACGAGGCTAGATTGAGAGAAGTGAGAGAAAGATAGTTTGTTACGATGAGCAAGAGCTTGCTTTTCATGCTTCGTCGATGTTTCTATTTCAGGCCTTGCAATTTTTCGACAAGCATCCGGAGGCGGGGGTTGGTGCCAATGCAAGGATAAGCGCTATCGAGGAAGTGCACTTCAACATCAACTGGCTCCGAGTAAATGTACAGAGAATTGATCAATGGCTGAGAGTCAGCGGCTGTGATCGAATGCCCGCTCTGTGCTCGTAGATCGTAGAAAACTTGAAGATTCGTTATCTTATATAGAATGCCGCGCGTGTACGGCATTAGATATTGTAATAAATATACCACGAATCAATTTATCCATTTTACTTTAGATTTATTTTTAAATATTTCTCGATTTCGTTTGGAGAAACCATAATGTTTCAATGCATCATAATTCGCGAAAATTTATGAGTTATTATTTAGACTCAATTATATCATGAAATTTTTCGTTTCCAATTAATGTAAAAAAAAAAGGTTACAATTCATTTAGACTTATTTTTGTACCTAGGACATTTTGTATCTAAGAAAGAAAATACTAAATATTTTAATAACAATATTTTGCTGTGGGCTAACTGTATGTTCATATCGAGTGGTCTCGAAACATCGGTAATGTAGCTCTACGCGCTGATTCCCAAGCTCCGCAAGTCCAAATGATAATCATTACTTTTACTAAGATCGTCTCAAGTTTATCTTCAGATATTTCGTAATCAATAAAACGATCCGTACAGAACGATCCTTAAGATCGTTTTAAGTTCATCTTCGGATGCTATACAGCTTATTTCACTGGCTAGAAAGCATCCGAAGATAAACTTGAGACAATCTTAAATATAAGATCTGACTAGTAGTACCGCCCAACGACATTTTAAATAAGATATCTCTGTGTGAACTTAAAAAAAATAAATATTTCAAAAATTAACCTATGAAAATAATTTTGCACTTTACTTGTAAATTCCAAAATATATGTACTGCTAATTTATTGAATTATTCTACATTTATTCTATAATACGGAAGATGGCGGTTTGGAGCAGAGACTTTTGAACTAATTAAACTAACATATTTGATAATGATTACGTTCATCAAAACGTTTATTTCGCGACTTTTCCGAATTGAGATTAGGTTATTCTCTTAAATTTAGAGGAATAATTCAATTTCAGAACATGAAACTTCCAATAGTTATAAAATAAACGTTCTGCTGAATATAACCGATAAATCTGAAAGATCTGCAGGTTTATTTTGTAACTTTTAACAACGGTGTTATTTGGCATTTTCGATTTGTTGATTCGATTCGGATAGCGTTGCGATAATCGCTATATTATTGTAAACTGTAGTAAACGTGACATGAACTATAGATTGCAGTATTATAAAATTTATCGAAACTGTACTCGAGTTGAATCGAGTTGAGTCAGTAAATCGCAAACGACAATTATCGTTACATTGCCGATGTGCAGTTTTTGTGCTATATATTATACCTGCGCAACGATAACATAGCGATAATGATGATATTGTTAACAGATACGGATACAATAGGATATATACAATAGGCTTACTGCTTCAATTACTAGACTTGTAATTTTTACGAGATTAATGTATTGAGTGGCGTCATCTAGTGATGTCGAGCAGAAGTTTGTCTTGTGAAAAGGATTTAAGGCGAGTATTTATAGGCTGCGTTCAAAAAATCCAAGCAATCAGTGACCGGTCGGTGATTATTGGTTTTTACTGTTAGATCTCTAAATTTAGACCAATTACATGGACGAATTATCCATCTGTTGTGTCTTATGAACGTAACTATAGTCAGATCTTATATTTAAGATCGTCTTAAGTTCATCTTCAGATGCTATACAGCTTATTTCACTGGCTAGAAAGTATCTAAAGATGAAACAGCAAAATGATTATATTTAAAAATATATCTGATAAACTACAAGTTTTGAGCTGTAAAATATTTTCAGTACCATCACATTATCATTATATTTATCGGAGCTTGTCGAATTTTATTCGTGTTTCGTGTAATTCGGAGAGGCGATCTTTTAACTATTATGCATCGTGTCGCCAACGGCGGATCAGATTCAAAGAAAACTAAAGCAATTCAAATGAAGGAACGTATATAGTGCACACAAATGTCATACGCTACCAGCTATATAAATTCATCAATAAGATTCAATAACATGAAATTATATAAAACGATGAGAAAGAAGTAACCGCGGAGAAAGAAATAACCGCGAAGATCGAATGAATTTAAAAGCATCAAGAGAAAATCGATCCATCAAACAAAACAGAATCGATTCCTCCGGTCGAACATCACCACCCATTCCTCGGTGATTCCCGCAGGGTATGTGCCTGTGCGTGGGTATATAAGTAGCGCGTCGATTCGACGTGACATTTAAGTTTTGAATCTCTGCCTGGAGCACGGATCGAAAGGTATTTTGACGTTGGTGTATTCCTCGAACGTGCCAACGATCACAACGCAGGATGTCGTCGGGCGTCATAGACATACTCGTGGACATGGGTTTCAGCATGTCCAAGGCGTAAGTTTACGGATAACGTCACGTCGCCGCCGACGCCTAACCTGCGAGATAATATCTGAACGTTTTGTTGCAGTGAGAAGGCCTTGGAAATTACCGGCAACAAAGGCGTGGAGCCAGCGATGGAATGGTATGAGGACGTCGACAGTGTGATTCTTCGTATTATCCTCAATGCTTTCGGCTTTTATTTGTTGCAGGCTATTGGCGCATTCCGACGAGGCTGAGCCAGCACCTGAACCTACCATGGTGGAAGGCGCCCCGGCACCGGTCACCGACACACCGTCCCAGGACAATGTTGCTGGTGCTACCAGCCAGCAGGTATCCACGACAGAGACGGCCAAATCAATGAAGTGCGATGTGTATGTTGATGCAAACTTAATATAAACTCTAATTAAGCATAGGAATGTGAACATTCGATTGGATATGGGAAGTGAGAGGTCGTTTCACATGGAAACAAACTATTTTGTTGAGATATACTCGCGACAATATTTTCACCTAACTTACGTATCGTCATGAGAATACCAGAAAATATAATAGAAATTGTATCTGTAGATGTGGAAAACTCTTCAAGTCTAACTTAGAGGTAGAATTTCACGCTACGAAATCAGGACACGACAGATTCTCCGAAAGTACAGAAGAAAAGAAACCTCTCACCGAGGAGGAAAAGAGAGAACAGTTGAAGATGTTGGAAGAGAAACTGAGGCAGAAGAGGAAGGAAAGGGAGGAACAAGAGAAAAAGGACGCGTTCGAGAGAGAAAGGAATAGGATACGGTCAGGAAAAGAAATGTCCGAAGCCAGGAAAAAGTAAGAACGTTTATCAGCAGCGTTACCTCTCATCACTAGATAGAATATAAACGTAATGTCTCTGTTACTTACATCATAGGCTAGAAGAATTAGAAACGATAAAGCTCTTCGAGCAAAGGAAACGTGAGAAAGCAGAAGAGAAAGAAGCACGACAAAGAGTCAGAGCACAGATTGAAGCTGATAAAGCAGCAAGACGAGCTAAAGCAGCTGCCGAGAGCGGGCAATTACTTAATACTGTTTCAGCTCCATTGCCTGCAATATCTTCCTCGTCTACGACGCATCACAGGAAAGATTACAGTGAAACTAAGCTTCAAGTACTAATATAATAAATATATTCTATAATATGGGCGCAAAAGCAATGTGTTCCGAGGAATTAAATCGGTTGACTGAAATTTCAATTCGATTTCAGCTCAGGCTTACCAACGGGCAAACTTTGATACAAAATTTCGGAAGTAAGGAACAATTGTCCGCAGTGAGACTGTTTATTGAAATGAACAGGACAGATGGTGCTGGTCCTTTTCAGTTAATGACTACTTTTCCTAAGAAAGTATTCACAGAGGAGGATTATGACACACCGTTGGACGTGTTGGGTATGTTACACATCGATATATTTCTTTTTATATACAGTTTTATATACAATGCATAAATCACAATAATTTATATTATATATCGATAATATATAATTTACACATTAAGTATTGATAACTGTACAATTCTGCAATACAATGATATTATTTGCGCGACACGCAAACATTGATTGATATGCATATTCAACGTAGGAGGGATCCTTTTATAATTGAAGATTGTATAATATGTAATTTTCTTCAATTTACAGGTTTGGTGCCCTCGGCAGTCGTGATTGTTCAGAAGAAGGTGGAATGATGTAGCCAATGATGCCCTAATTCGTAAGCAGAAACACTGATGTACATTCTCATACAGATTAATTACAAGACATTCACCAGTGTAATGATAATTCTTCTCATCAGTAAGATATCTATGACAAGCTTGTTTATCTGTAATATACAAACACATTCTTTCTGGTTTTCTTTTTGTTTTTTTTTTCCTTTTTTTTTTTAAGAATGCTATGGTTCTAAACTTAAATGAAGATAGGAGACATCAATTTTGAAATTCTACATTGGTACCTGTAACTCAACCAACGGTGCTTTTACACCTTCGTATATCGTGTAAAAGATAATAGAAGTATTCGCGATTTAATTTAGATTTGTGTGGTCAATGTCTTTTAGTTTAAAAAAATATATTTTCTTAATGGCATTTTATGTATTGTTAATTAAGGAAAATAATACTACTTATTTATCTTGTACGGATAGAGCTATCTGTGCAATTCATTGCTAAATTCTTACAATGACAAGGTTAATTTTGTCATGTATATGTTGTTTGTGCGTGATGTGTAATTTTATCCTATAATTTTATACCATCCCAGCCACCTATGGTTCATGCACATATAAAAGTTTACAAAATACAATCGTTATATCTGTATTACTTGATAGTTGCGTGGTACAGAACTAGGATACATTATTAATTCAGACTTATCACAGTTCGTAGGGAAATTATAAACTCCATCACAGTCCACCAGTTGTAGTGTTTTGTCGAAACAAATCCTTATCTCGTTCACATATAATTCACCCGTTTTCTGAAAAAATAGTAGTGACTTATATGAGAAAAATTACATCGATATGTTTGTTTGGCGTTACGTTTTTTATATCTAGCGCGATTAGATTCGAGCGCCGTGTTTGTTTGTCACAATTACTCATCAAATAATCTTTTAACCTCACCTTGTTCTTCGTGCATATCACTTGGGCTCTTTTTTTCAGAATCTTTTGAACTGCACGTAATAAATCATTTATCATATACTTTTCACCTGGTTCAATATTCGCTTTTTTGAGCACGTCTATCATGTTGTAGGTGTCGAGTAGTTTCAACCCTGTTTGAAAATATTTAAATACGCTGTTCAGTTTTTCGATGGTAACTGCACAAGTGCCGTGTTTATCCCATTCATGTTTCCAAAATGAATAGGGCTTGGACCCCTTCTGAATATCGGTCCACTTTTCTTTCAATTCGTTCTCTATGGGTGCTAGAATATTCTTATCAAATGACAACGACGTGTTGCAGAACTGCGGGCCGGTATGGTGAAATTGCGTGGGCCATATACCGTGTATAGTCCATTTATTCTGTTTGGGCAGTAAGCAACTGTGTGATTTTGAACTTTCTTTCCACATGTAACAGGCTGTTAGTGGCCATCTCTGAGTAAATAACACAATGTCAAATATGTTGGGTTTTGTAGGTTCCTCCTCGACAAAGCAGCTGCAAAAAATCGGTAAAATTAAAATCATATTTTAAAAAATTGCATTTTGCAGCACTTAAAAAAAAATATATATATATTTGCGCGCGCGCGCACGCGCGCGCGCGTGTGTATGTGTGTGTGTGTGTGTAATTAAAACTGTTTAGGAACTTAAAGTTTTATACATAGATACACACATATACATTTATATAATTATATTACATGACTCACATAATTATATACATGATTCTCATAAAATCTTTGTTTTCTCATGTATAATTACATTTTGTGCGCACTAAAAAAATATTTTAATGCGATTAGAAACAAGATTTAATTTTACGTTGTTTCAATATCATAACGATATCGCAATATTATCGATTTGGTTGCAATTACTCGATCAGTCAGATTGTTCACGTGGCAACTATCTATGCAAGATTGTGCCATAGAGTTAACACGTCGTAGTAAGCGTGCGTGCTAATCGATATGCTGGTTGCTCTCGACAAAGTGCACAATTATAGGTGTGTTAATATCTAACGTTAATACATTTCACTGACTTCCTGTAGTTCTATATTTCTCCACAGGTAATTTATTACCTACTTATACTACTTATACTTGTATCACACTTGAACATGTGCTAACAGATATTGTTCTCAGTTATTGACGTGCTAACACACAGCAGATTATATAATATTTGCGAGGATTTATTTTACTTCGTTGAATATACGCGCCAGTTTACTTACTTGTGTGTGACGTACGGTAGACACAGCAGGAGAGTACACAGCACAACGTTATACTTGCACATCGTGTTAGAGAGTGGGAGATCGTTCTACCTGACTCGATTGCTTCGAGGGAACAGCATTCGTCGTTCTATTCAAAGTGCTCAACTCTCCCACCTTCTTCTACCGGTAACCCCACCATTTTCTACCGTCCCTGGCTAACAGATGGTCTTTTAACTGATCATTCAAGCCTTTTCTAACGGGTGTAATACGAAAATACTGTAGTGTCATGTGTGGAGCCGAGATGAATGTTGTATGTATATGTGTGTATGTTTATCTTTGACATATATTATACGTAATATTCTCCATACTTTTATTATTTGATTTATAAATATACAATTTCTATTTATTTTAAATAGCACAGCATCTTTTTTCGGCGCAATTGCGCCTAATCGGCAGCTTAATTGGCGCCGATCTAATACAGCCACGTTTGTAAAAATAATGAGATTTTGGTATAACTAATATTACGAGTTTTCTTGCTTTGTATTTTCATTCATTGTAGTATACTTTTTCTTTACAGTCGTTTACACGTTATAGACATATCGATAATTACTTGAAACGTAAAAGATAAATAGATACAAAAGATTCATTTAATTACGGACTAATTACACTAATTAGTTTGTAACAATGAGATTATTTCTTACTGAAAATGTACTGAAAATCTATGAAATCAAATTATAAAATTGAATAACGGAGCAATAATTTGGTGAAAATAGTGTATCGTTTTATAAACTATAACCAAGTATTGCAATTTTTAATGTCGATAACCTATAATTGATCATTTCTTCTGCTTTTATCATTTTGTAGTAACAACGTTTTCAATAATGACAAATGACATTAATATCGTGAAATTACGTTTTAATTATTTCGCAGAATATTTACAGGACATATAAACGGATGCATGTGCATGCGGTAGAGAGATATCTATAGTGCTACATCATCAATATTTGTTCAACGATAAGTCTTGTAATTTTTCATAACTCAAGTTATTTTGTACTTTGAATTAGAACAGGGTAGCGATACAAACTTTGTGATTTATTAACGTCTTTCGACAATATCTAATTAATTACATTCGTCTTTATTTCTCTCTTATCTTTGATGTCATACTTTATCATAAAGTAGTTATAATACATATATAAAATATGTTAAATTTCATTGAAAATATGTTTATGAAATTAGAAGGCACTATATATATATATATATATCAAGGACTCGGACCGAATGAATATATCGGTCCAATTCCGGTCCACTAAAATATTTAATAAAGATCTCGGTTTTGGTTTTTTGAACAATGAAAGTACCGGTTAACTATTTAAATTACAGTTTTTTTCAGTTCCAGTTCTTAAACTTGTTTCCTTACTGAAATTTCTATTGACTTAATTAAATGATATATATAGAGTGAGTCAGTTAAAGTGTGACAAACGTATATCTCAGAAACGAAACATTTTACAGAAAAATATTTCATACAAAAGTTGTTTGATTTCGAGTAATGCATAAGATGGTATCATTGGTTTGATCTTTGATAATTTTTTGAATGTCACATGAAGGTCACATTCAATTTCTTAAATGGAAACTCCTACTTTTTATTGTATATTTTTGTAGTTTACCTCGAGAGCTTTTTAAAATACTATAATAAAATATTTTTGCATTATGTACTTTTCGACTTATAAGGCTTGAAAGTTGCAGTACTGCCGGCATTAACACTACCCAAGCAACACTACACACAGCAGAGAGGGTTTGCAATAACAAAATATTACAGAAGTGACTAATTCTGATTAAATCCTTATCTCTGCTAACACACACATATACACACACATAGCGGAGAGCGTTTGTAATCAGCAAATACTATGGGAATGATAAATCTTAGGGTATTTATATCTATCTTGGGTAATGGTAATGTCGGCGGACTGCAATTTTCAAGCCTTATACAATGAGTGCAAAACATATTGGTACAGAGATTGCCTTGAAAAAGGCTATATATGACTATATTTTGCGATAACTAATTAATGTTCTGTTTTTTTATGAGAAATAGAATTTTATTATGAAAGGAAAGAAATGATTATTTAAAATCACAAAATAAGCACCGAAATAGTGAACTGAAAAGAATCGCAAATTGAAAAAAATGTAACGGTTCCGGTTCTGTAGGTTTTATAAAATTTCGGTGCGGTTTACGGTTCCGGTCCAGGTCCCTGATATATATGTGTGTGTGTGTATATATATATATACAAGGTGGGCCATTTTAATCGACCCAGTCGAATATTTCGAAAACCAAGCCCGGGAGAGAAAAATTTTTCAGACAAAAGTTGTTTGGTTTCGAGGGGACCATAAGAC